GCAAACTTGCTGACAGTGCACTCTGTTCCCATGTCCAGGGAATATATTGAATATATATATACATATATATATATGACTGAGGGACTCTACTAGATACAGGCCTTCAACTGGTCTCTGTCCCATTGACCACAACTCTCTGACTTCTTTCCTTCAACCAGTTCCCAATCCACCTCACTACCCAATCATCCAGACCACATTTCCTCAGTTTAGCTGCTAGGATGCTGTGGGAGATGGTGTCAAATGCTTTACTGAAATCAAGAACAATCACATCCACAGCCCCACCATCATCTATCCACCTGGTTATGTTCTCATAAAAGGCTATTGGATTGATCAAACGTGACTTCTCCTTGGTAAAACCATGTTGACTGCTCCTTATGATCCTCTTATCCTTGATATGCCTAGAGACAGCACTGAGGAAAAGCTGTTCCATCACCTTTCCAGAGATGAAGGTGAGGCTGAGTGGTCTGTAGTTGCCCAGGTCCTCCTTCTTGCCCTTTTGGAAGACCGGAGTGACATTTTTTTCTCCAGTCCTCAGGCACCTCTCCTGTTCTCGATGACATAGGAAAGATGATGGAGAATGATGGAATGTCCTCTGCCAGCTCCCTCAGCACCCACAGGCCGATGGATTTATGGATGTCCAGATTGCTGTGATTCTGTGATATTTTAACAAAGAGATTCTACCCTGTTTAATATAGAAAAATAACTTTTTAAGTGAGGACAATTTCTAATAAGCACAAAAATGCAACTTTAAAGATAGCTTTACTATTAATTCAAAATTCTTTGCTTCAAGCAGTCTGCTGATCACTGCCTGGAGACTCCAGTACAAGCTAGGAGAATGAAGCAGAAAAAGCACACAGCTGTACCTTAGAGCATCAGGCAGTAAAGTGGTGAGCAGAACACTTTTTGAAGATGTTTTGGCTGATAGCAAGTTAGAGATTCCGGAAAGTCTCTCAAGTCCTAAGTCCACAACAGTGACGCAAAGTAACAAACGCAGCTTTGTAAAATGAAAATATTCCGTGCTACTTTCTAGTCCTCAAATGTAAAATTTAGCAAAAAAAGGTAGCAAATCTCTCTCCCAGATCTCCTCTGTCCTTTTATTGTGTGGAAGAGCTGCTGTAGTCTTAAGAATGTAGTTAGGGAAAGAGCCACGTTTAGGTTTCCAACATGATACAGGGAAGAGCTTGTGTAACTTCCCCTGTTTACTTGAGCAGCAAGCATGCAGTATGGATTGTGGATCTTGACACCAGAGAGCAGCCTGGGGATTTGTGTTTCCCTCCTTCTTGTGGGAGAAAGGAAAAGTGTATTTTTACAGAAAAGAGACCGATCACTGGTCTAGTATGTAGTTTATATTTGTTTTGATTTAGTCTTTCTAAAGTAAAAGCTGCTGCTCCAATATGATTAATAATGCTGCACCTATGTAGTATAGTTCTGTGGTACTCGGTGAATATTATGCATAATAGGGGTGAGTTAACAGGGATGTTGGAGAATATTTAAGATGTTCAAATGAGAAACTGGAGAAGGAAAAAAATGGCAGGATTGTATTAGTTTCGTTTTGCAGACTGACTTTCACATAATTGAGTAGACTGGTAAAGGAAAGCTATGTAGGAAAACTTGGAGCACTGAGGCTATGAAAATCCAGGAGGAAACTTCAGGCATGAAGGGGGAAAAGAAACAGTGGTTCATGCAGGAACTGGAGTGGTGAGGGCTGTCAAGAATTCTCTATTTAGGCTTTGAAATTTCACCAAGAAAACTATATTGCTAGGATTGAAATTAAGTGGAATGTATTGCTGAAAAATAACATTTAGTGAATGGGATCATGGAAAGGAAACCAAAGGTGGAAATTTTTCTAAGGGACAGTGGAAAATATGGTCAAGTATTAGATATGTGAGAAAGAGAATCATAGTGTTTGAGGATTCATCTCCAAGATGGAGATCAAAAAGGTAAGCAAAGGATGACACTGCATCTGGAGCCCTAAAAAAACCCCAGCCACCACCTTATCCAGCCAGAACCAAACCCACTCCACTGGTGTGTCTATGCTATGTTTTATAAATCAGGAGAACTTTAACTTCTCTAGGAAGTACAAAAACTTAGACAAATTAAAAAGGCAAATCAAACTTCAGAGTAATGGCTAGGATTTCCAGGCTAAAACTTTATTAGCAGGAACATGTTAACTACTTGATTCTGGAAACAAGTTAAAGATGATACAGAAAAATTTCAGCTTCAGTAATAAATATAGAGTATGTCTCTTTAGAAGGTGTTTAATCATATCTAATCTTATATACTTAATATGCAATATATTTTTATCTGCAAATTCCAGAGTTAAGGCTTTGTAAGAATTGCATTGCTTTCTCTAGGATAACTGAAATAACTAGATAGCATGTTTCAAATCTTTGTTTTTCTGATTCACATCTCCCTTATTCAATATTAAGTTTATAATTACTACATTTCTTCTTTTTCCCTGCAGAAAGACACTGCAAGAGAATTACCACCTTTCAACCTCCAAGCAGTATTCTCAGAATCCAAAAAGAAACACGACCAACTCTTAACTACAGGTCATCCAGTAACATTACAGAACACTGGTTCTGACATCACCAGTCTTTCTATTTCCATTATATTTAGGCTTGCATTTACCGAAGAAACGTACCACTACAGTATAGCTATACTTGTACTTCTGCTACTAATATTACTTTCCTTATATTTTCTTTGATGTCACTGTTTCAGTGTCTCCAGTGTAAGTGCAGTGGTGTTCCCATCACACAGTTTTTTCCTCAAAGTTTCTTCATTGAAGATTTCAGTGTCAGTGGCTTGGAAAAGAGGTTTTTAAATAATACTGTCAATACATGTCTTCTAAAGGCAAGTTCTTGTAAACTTTCCAGCTCTGCACTCAATAGCTACGTATGCACTAAACTATTTGTACAAGGCTGTTCTATGTTACAAATGTTTGGATTCTTCTTGGTTTTGTTTTTTTTTTGAAAATGGACCTTTGCTACAGCAATATTAAAAAGTATTATGAAATCCAAAGGGGTGTGGTATTTAATTACTCTGACACTAGCACGTCAATAAGGTTTTCTGAAACAGTTTAAATACTGATGCATTAAGTGTATGGGAATTTAAAGTTTTTCTCTCTCTTAATGTGTAATGGGAAGACAGTAGTCACAAATTCTATTTTACAACTGACTTGTTACAGTTTTTGCCTTTACCTAAGCTACTACACGTAATGAAAATGAGTGATTGAACCAATTAGCATTTCCTTACCTTATTACAATATGGGCATTCACCGAAGATGACATTAAAACTCTGTCTGCTAGAAGGAAGACCTTGTAGCCACTGCAACACAAGTAAGTGGATTAAAATTCACATTTGTTTCATATAAAATTTAAGAACGATCTCTTCTATGACAGAGTTCATTTGATTGACATCTGACATGGTGCGTGTCTGTGGAACCACAAAGTGAGGCAGGTTCCCTTCCACAGGGAGCTAAGTTATGAATTGTGAGTTAGAAGACAAGAGAAGGACAGTGTCTGTTGTAGTGCTCCTTAAAGGACTTTGCTTCATCTGAAATTTAAATGGGCAATGCTGCTTTTCTACAATCTGTGAGCAAGTGTGTCCCATTAATTACCTCATATAGGCAAGCCTGATGAAAAGGTTGCCCACATCGGGGATCATCGCACACTTGATCTGGAGTAGTGCCATCGAGCCGATAGGCGTAACAGATTCCACAGTCCTTAGCAAAATCCTTAAAACACAACATGGTTTAGCTTATAGTGCAACTGCAAGGGAGAAACAGGGCTGGTAAGACTGAAAACATACACTGATTTGTCTTTGCTTTTTTATTACTTAGAATTACTAAATATTTTTGCCTTCAATATATGCGTTTATACCGTTATGGCATAAAGATGCCATATGTACAAGACTTTGCTAGGTCATATTTTATCTTCTCACTGATTTATGTCTAGTCTGACAAACATTTTCATACTTTTGGTCCCCACTGTTTTACTAAACACAATGATTTTTCGTTACATGTGGACATTAGATACAAGCCCTCAGTCAGACTTCAATTTAAAAATTTCATAAGTGAAAGCAAAGCTGGTAATCCAGTGTTACAGCATTGTCAAAAATTAATTCCTAGTTTGTTTGAAATGCACCAGTATTTGGATGGCCTCTTGTCCCCTCTAAGCAGCTCTACCTAATTAGAACTTAAGTCATCAACATCCATAACAGAATGTTTGGATTTTCCACATCTCATTAGCTA